CCAAAAAACATATTGGTAGAACAGCCCTTGATTTTCCATTTTAGAAACAATTTTTTGGGGGGGAGATGTTAAAAATTCTGGATATAGGGTTGCCAACTCTGGTTTGGGACATTCTTGGAGGAGAAACCTGGGGAGGGGAATGAACTCGGCGGAGTATAATGCCATAGAGTCCACCCTCCAAAGAAGGCATTTCCTACAGGGGAACTGCTCTTGGTGGTGTGAAGACCAGTTATAATTCCAGCAGACCATGAGGCCCCACCTGATGAATGTCACTAGGAGGAATGACTGTAGTGTTTGCCAAATGGATTAAAATTACATAGGAATTTCAACACTACCCACTCTGATAAAGTTTGTATGTGAAACGAGACGCGATATGCATGGTCTGTTGTGGCATTGATGCGTTTGAATTGCTCCAGGTAAATTGGACATTGGAAAAGAACTCACAAGTCTGTGGAAGAATTTTTAGCACAATATATCACTCTTGTTTTGCTCCCTTTCAACCCACCTTGGACTCAGCAACCCCACGTGGCTAGTGCCTTTTAATTCGAGTTTATTGAGCACAAAAATGATTGACGGTGTGCTGCCTTAGAAAAAGCACGAAAAGGTTTTAATTCCTTATCCTCACCTGAACAACAAATTGAAAGGACAGTTCTACCAAACAAGGCTTCCTACCAATGCTCCCTCTAAGCTGTGGAGTCTTGTGAGCAAAAATTCCGCTTTGTGAGCTACTGGCATTAAAGTTGTGAGCGAGCAGTTTGGCTGTTGCATCAATGAGTTTGCTCTGGAGCCATCCCTTCCTGAGTAAAGAAAAAAATATGTGAGCTGGAGGCTAAGAAACTGTGAGCTAGCTCACACTAACTCAGCTTAGAGGGAACGCAGCTTCCTACCCCCTTGGTATAAAGGGAAGTGACGAATAAACAGGGGTATGCTGCAAAGTGACAGTAGCCCCCACTGGTGGACCTCCTGATGGCACCTGGTATTTTTGGCCACTGTGTAACAGATAGGGTTGCCAAACGTCTTTTGGCCGGGAGCGGGGGGCTCCCGGCCAGCGTCTGTGTCGTGCGCGCGCATCACCCGGAAGTGATGTTGCATGCTGGGGGTGGGGCCCCGCCATTTGAGGGGAAAACAAAGAGTTTCCCCCTCAAATGGCGTAGCCCCGCCCCCAGCATGCGACGTCACTTCCGGGTGACGTGCACGTGGGGGTGGGGTTTCCCCTGGGCCCGATTTTCATCCAGTCGAAAATCAGGCCATCAAAGCGGGGGATTCCCCGCCCCCCGGCCCGATTTGGGAACCCTAGTGACAGAGTGTTGGACTAGATGGGCCTTTGGCTTGATCCAACATTTGCGTCTCTTATGTTCTTATGTTAACAAGCCAATCTGACTGGCCCCTGCAGTGAAAGCAGACAGCTCAGACTTGGCCAGCCTTGCTACTGATGGGTGTTGGCTTACACTTTGCCTCTTCCTCCTCCTCCAAAGTGGCATTGGTGCAGGGGAAGGCAGTTGGTGGGCTGACACGGATTATCATTGCCACCGAAGGACTAAGTGACTCCTGAGGGGCTAGTTGAGCTGTCGCTTGAGCTCTGGCCTCCAACAGTCCTCGAGGGCAGTGCCCCCCCCCCAGGAACTTTTCCCAGAAGTGAGTCCCACCCCCGTAAGTGAAGGCCTTTCCTATCCTGTATGGCAGAGATTTCAGTGAGAGTTCTCCTACTGCCATTCCCAAACTGTTCACTTTGCCAGAACTCGTAATAACTAAACTAGAAGTAATCCAGCTACTGGGTTGGGTTATAATTAGAGATATGGATGCCCTGGACTGATCCGTAGTCCTGAGTCCCACCTGCAGCATTATACTATATGAAATGAACAGCTATATATAAGATATAACTTCTATGTTAGATGACCAAGTGGGAAAATATGGCCCATGGGTTCGCCACTTTGACTGCCAAAGAACACAGTGTAAGCTAGCGGCATAGTGGAATTTAGAAGCCTAGAGTATCTGGCTCCTATCATCATGCTTGTTTTACTAGATTACTCATTCTTCTGTAGCAAATGTGCATGGCTTAGATCTAACAAGAATGTAGTCAGCCTTAGAGTTTCACCCATTAAAATAGGCAGCATTTAACAAGATGTTTTTATTCCAGCAATCCATCAAAAGCTGGAAGCAGACGGGACAGAGAAAGTGGAAGGATCCATGACGCAAAAGCTAGAGAATGTTCTGAACAGTAAGTGTTATATACCCAGTATCCACTATTTTTAGAGTTTAGGGTTTTATATCAAGTTCAAGCCTATTCTTGGAATATGAAGTCTGGTAGAAACCAGCTTTCTCTTGATATTTACATTCCCAAATCAAAGATACGTGGGCTTTACCAGTTGAACTTAAGTGATGTTTTTGCAGTACATCTCAGTTGCTGAGAACATGAAGAAGGAAACGAATTTCTGATGCTCAGCAGTTCTTTAAGATGGATATTTAAAACTGAGAGATGCATATAGAAAGTAAATAGGGTGACATGGTTTAAAATATATTTCAAGAGGTTTTGTACCTTTTCGTAGAATCATAGAATGTTGGAGTTGGAAGGGACCTTGCAGGTCATCTAGTCTTCAGGAGCATAGCCGAAAGATAGCCCTACAACATACCTGAATGATGGTCATCCAGCCTCCGTATTATGCGGCACTTCTCATATCAATACATTTTATACCTTTTCTTAGCATTTTATGTGACATTTCACAGAAAGAAGCACTTTAGATCTCATCCAAGATGCTATTTCAAGTATATGATGTTGCAACTATGCATAGTTGAAGTATTATTCCAATAGTATAAGATATTAAGCATTTACAGTACAGTCTTGTGCAATTACCATCTTGTTGTAAAACATTTGTCCGCTTTTCAGTTTATAGTATGTCAGAAAAGTTCTTCAGCCACTCCCAAGTTACAGGTATTTTAAGTGACTTTCAGTTTTTAACTAGTAAAATTTGGGCCAGCTTCTTGTAAACTTTCCAAGAATGTTGTGTGCCTGAGTTTGTCTTAATTAACAAATGTAAAAGGGCCTCTTGCTCTGTCAAAATTCATCCCGTCATTAAATTAATACAATTCAGAATTTTCCTCTTAAAAAAAAAATATGGATGATCCCACCCACCATAAATGAAAAAAAATAAGAACACTTTTCCAGAACGGCATTTCCTGAATAAAAACCTTGTATAGATCTTATCCCAAATGTGTAAAATACCTTCTATGTGGAACTAATGGAGTTTTTATATTTATTTATACAAAAAGATTATTACATTTTAAAAGACTTACACATTTTTAGGGATAACCTGTGCCCATTTTCCCCGGTGTTATTCCAGGAGAATGTATTATCTAAAACTAGTGATTTCAATTGGCTTAGATTGGAATAACTCTGCATAGAGTTGCAGTGTAACCCATATGCTTAAGACAATGGCTTTTAGACTGCCCATTTTCTAGCAGCCCCTTTTATATTTTTAGCATTGCAAAACGTTGTATCTGAAAATACAGAAAGTGTGGTGAAGCCCTTGGCATCTTTCAGTGAAAAATTGCTCTCGGTGATCAAATGCTCATTCCTATTTAAATTCAGTTGTTCCAAATGGCAACACTTTCCTGTGGTTCTAGTCACATTAAATACTGGCTTGGATCTTCATGTTCTGGTTTGTTCATTCCCTTTTACATAGTATTTTTTTTTAAATATACCCTATAATTAAAAAGATATGGAGATGTCTAGAGGAAACATTAACATATGAAGGCATACTCCTTCATGATGGTAAATTACAGTGTCTATTGCAGTTCCTTCAGTGTAACATAATGAGGCCAGCAAGATTTTGGGGGGTATAAGCTTCCAAGACTCGAAGTTCCCTTCGTTAGCTTTGACTTTCAAAAGCTTATACCTCAAACATCTTGTCGATGTGCTGCTGTTCTACTCGAAACCAACATGGCTCCCCTCTGAAACTATACTTAATAATCAATTTCCTGTGAAGAGATTCTGTATAATTGATTTAAGGATCAGTATGGGAAAAAAATCCAAGTACGTGGATCATCAGATAAAAGCCGCATTAAATTCTCCGAATTTTGCAGAAGTCTTTTCTTTTGTTTCGTTGTGTTTTTTTTTAAAAAAAAAACTTCTAGGGAAGCAGTGTTTGCCTTAGAGTTATATCAATAAGCACAAAACTGCATCTAGATAACAGCCTTCATGTCTGAGACTCTGAACATGTATAAAATGAGAAAAGTGACATGGAGGTATTTTGTTCTTTGGTCAAGATGGTGTGTGTGTGTGTGTGTAAAGTGAAAATGAACAGCATAGGTTTTAAATAAGTCTTGGCACTGCTGTAAAAAGTATAAGCTTAATATATATCAGATTCCTTTTGTCCTGGCTATGCAGAATTCACGACTTGCACCTTATGTTGCTGACCTGTTGGAACTCTTTTTGTTCTTGCTACCAGCAAAGCTAATTTTTGCAAGACTCTCAGTCACAACGTGTAATGTCAACATGTCAAATCATCTGGGAAAGAACCTAATTTTTTTAACCAATCCGCTTGCTTGGTGTGATCAGTGTAGCACTTTTAGAGGTTCAAGCAGATGCCCAACCATGGACCCTAAGTGCTGCTATATGTAATTTCCAGCTATTCTTTTCTGCAAGACTTTGCAAATTACTTAAGTGCACATGAGACACCCAGTCTGATTTGAGAAAAAATGGCTTTCAATTACAGCCATTGTGATACAATCCTGATTGCTGAAAGAACTCTTTTAATCCACTATGTACAATCATTAAATTTTGTTAGATTTGTTAAATGTTGTTAAATTTTGTTAAACATTTTTATTAGTGAAAGGTCCGTTGACCATGTAACAAACTTTATTGTTACTTTTATGGGCTCACGAAACTTGGTGACAAAATTCAATTTACTTCAGTAGTGCAATATAAGACCAAAATTGTTTTTATTTAAACAAGTTCAACCAACTGTTAATGTTAGCTTTTAATGTAAGAAGTTACCCTTAAAATGCTCTCTTTTTTTCCTAGTCATATTTGCTCTAATCTGACCTAGTATCCCATTAATTGTTACAGAAGATTTTCAAAAAAGTTTCTGAACAGTTTGTATTCTTTTTAGCAGTGGGAAGAAAACTTGTTTTGAATGCATTAATTACCTTAATGTATTTTATTAAATAAAACTTTAAAAATTACTAAAATGTGATTAAATCTATTAGAATTAGCTATAAATGTGTGTTTTATATAATCTGGATTGTGGGTTCGGATGAATAATGGTGTGCAGCTTCTACATCTGATCAGTTATATTTTAAAAGCACTGGCTCAGCGGAAAATAATTATGCTTTCACTTAGTATTTTAGTATAGGCATATTATTTTATTTACAACTACTCATATTTTTAACTTTCTCTTTTAACCAGAAAACATAATTCAGTAATTCGTAATTTTATTTTAGTATTACAGAAGTATACAGCTATAATAACACTGTCCTACAAACTGCTAGACATCAGGTAGAGAGAAAGAGTGAGCGTGAGAGAAAGTGTATGTGTGTGATTAACTAACAACCTTAAAGTGTAGTAGAAACCATTCTCCTGACAAAATAAAGTATCTTGCATCAGGGGCTCAAAATTTCAGCAATGTCCAAAACATTATTTAGATATAACAATTATTTTACAAAGGCTACTTTTAACATGAGCAGGCCACCCACAGTGTTGACAAGAGAAAATGGCATGCAAGCCACCCAGCGAGACTGATGTAATTTTTTTTCATCTTTGCTTAAATTATAGTCACTAGACCAGATAATGTAGAAACTTTTTACAGCCGGCTATGGAAAGGGGAGAAAACATTCCTCTTTTTTCCCTGGTAGATTAAAAATAAGTGAAAAGGTTTGGGGGGTGGGGGGAGAATCTAAAATATTTGACATGTATACATCTTTAGTGTGAGGGGAAAGCGTTCTTTGCTAATATGGAGTCTGCTTTAGTTTGAAGCATTTCTGCATTGTGATATGGAAATGAAACGCTGTTTTCACTGTAACAGTTGAAAGTTTCAATATGTCCTCATCATGTAAATAGTTTAATACAGGAATTCTCCTTTGCTTAGAGCTGCCCTTATGTTTCTGATCCTGGGTCTACTGAAATCAGTCCGTATTGCTCACAAACATGAAAATAGGCTCAGATCCAGGAAAAGAAGTCAGAGCCAGTGCTCTGTTTCAGTAAATTATTTTGTAATTTTGATAACTTCTCCAAGTTGAATCAATTCATAACAATACCCTTCTTCTTCTTTTTTTGGAACATTTTTTTCTGGAAAGCCAAACAACTTTGTATTATTCCTCCCCCCCCCCGCCCCCGCAATTGAATAAAGTGTAACTTATACCGCTGTTCTATCAATGGTATTTAAATGCATTGTTTGTTTCACTTTATGCAGTCATAATGAAAGGAATATATTAGGGACGATCAGGTTACCTACAGGGCAGAGATAGAACTGTAAAATTCATCTCTGTCGCCAAAGCAAACTCCAAAGGCACCACAATGAAATGAAAAGTATTTGGTCTAGGAGCCTGAAGTTGCTTTTGATTGTGCTGAGGCTTCTGCTGCTTGGAAAGGCTAAGCAATGAATGCTTGTAATTTTTTTTTTTTTTACATTTTAAATTTGAGACAAACATTTGTGTTTGTATCCGTGCAACTGTAATCATTGGAAGAAGCATGACAAATCCACTGAGTAAACTCGGTGCAGGGTACGCTGCTCTGTCCAATTTATTTACATGCTTATCCCCTCTTGAAAACAGGAGCAAGTAATACAGCAGACACACTATTCCAGGAAGTGTTAGGTCGCAAAGACAAAGCCGACTCAACAAGAAATGCCCTCAACGTTCTCCAGCGCTTCAAATTTCTTTTCAATCTCCCACTGAATATTGAAAGAAATATTCAAAAGGTATTTGATCACTTACAATACAGGATAAGTGATTATCTTGCACCTCAGTTTGTAATATTTGTCTTATCCTAATTATTATTTTTTTGTATTTCTGAAGGGTGATTATGATGTTGTCATTAATGACTATGAAAAAGCGAAGTCATTGTTCGGGAAGACTGAAGTTCAGGTGTTTAAAAAATGTGAGTTTTGGATTTTGTTAAAGTCAGTTGTGATTTTAATGGGAAACATTATTAATGCAGAGCAATTAATTAGGACATATACGGGGTTCAACTTCTGTTTATACACAATCTTCTGCAGCGTTTGGAACAATTAGTCTGGCGAGGTTTCTCTCTTGTAAATATATAATGGGTTAGGTCCAAAGATTTACTTCCTAAGTAAGAAGGAGTCATCATTTAACAGAAGAGAATTCTTGGATCCAACCCATTATTTCGTCGTGCATATAACAGGAGTTGAAGTAAGCTTTATGAGACATAAAACAGGTTAGAGACATCTTTTTTTTTTAAAAAAAAGGTTTTTTAAGAGTTGCAGCGTGAAGTTTCAAAAATGATTCAATGCTTATCTTTTCAGGTTAAAATTAAAAAGTAAATTATTTATGTACGAAATATTCTGTTCTGAACAGGGAGTGGTTTTTGTGTAATTCTCTAAGAATAAATGGGTATGTGTTGCATATATTTATACATCAATTACATTAACATTATATAGTAATTATATATTAATTGTAATTTAAAATTTTCATAGACCTCTAAATAAGCTGTGTCTATAGCACTGGTACGGAATTTAAATTTAATTCGTGATTACTCCATTGTTAAAAGTTCTGACTCATAACAGAATTCTAGTTGCCATGCTCTTTCCAACAAAAGTTAGACAGGAGGAACAGAGACCTAATAAAATAGCCCAAATATATAATGGAAGGGGAAAAGCAATAGCAAGGTGATATTGGTATAAAACTTGTAATTTGGGCTAAAGTAAACTATGTTAAAATCTAGCTCACTATTTGACTATTACATTAAATTCATGACATTTGACATGCAGAAGAGAAAATGTTATCTTATAACTTTAAAACCATAGATTATGCAGAAGTTGAAACTCGAGTCGAAGCGTTGAGGAAGCTACTTCTGGATAAACTGCTTGAAACACCATCAACTTTACATGACCAAAAACGCTATATAAGGTGATCTTCTTTCATTTATATTATATTATCAGGTTTTTTATGTGTAGACCGGAACATTTTCTTGGTTTTTACTATTCTAACATTTTGAACATTGCTTCCTATTTAAATAATGGCAACTTATCTGTGTCATCTTTTGCAGTTTCACTGTCTGATGTGAAAAGCGTAGGCTGTTCTTCGTGTAATATCTTAAATGCTTAATAATGTCTTTCTTCTGATTCTGCTGCCTTGCAGTGGTCCGATGACAACGCTTATCTGAAAACACAGTGCAGATTCGAGATTGCAACCTATGGTGTTTCAATATACCATGTGTTCCTTTAATGGCAGGCACCTTGCCTCGTTTATTAAATGTAAAGACATGTACAGTATAAGTCTTAAACCATTTCCATCTGAAAAGGAGCATTAAAGACAGCTTTGAAATTAACAGTACAGGCCCTAATTAAAATCAGTATCGAAAAGCTTTGTGACCTTTGCATTGCTTTTCTGTACAATAGGCAGTTCGTTTCTCCCTTTCTCTTGGACTATACATGCAGAGGTGCTTTGAGAATGGTCAGGTGCTTAAGTAGTTAATCAAAATTGCTCCTTCAGCACAGAGTACCTGAATGCTGGTATGCTACATAGTGCATTGTAAATGGACAGTGTTTTCACTGGGAGCTAAATATTTTAGCACCTGTTTTTTGTCCACCTGACCCCATTAAGTAAGGTACATCTACCTGTGATAAGAAAACACTGGAGACGGCTTTTAAAGCTAGTTCCAAAAGCTAATGCCAATTTCTTTTAAATGTTCCCTAGAGGGGGCAGTATGTGAATACAGATACTAGTACAAACTGTAATTCCTTAATGGTTACCTGATAGTGATAGAAGGAGATATGAAGTGCAGTAAACTCCTCTCCAGGTAACCTAATAAACCAAATCCTTAAGGTGCAAAGTACCTAATAATCCATTTTAGAGCAAGAGCCTTAGCAGTGTTTTGGTCACGATCAGACCTTCCTCTGGCTAAAAAAGTCTTTTTCTTATTATAGAGAAGCATGTTCTCCTTCATCACTTCTTATGACATAGTGTGGAGCCCAAAGTGTGCAGTCCTTCTTGCTTCATTTTAGGGAGGGATGCACAATTTCACCCTCCTTATATTTTAGGCGTCTGTATAGCATAGGGTTGCCAGGTCCCCCCTGACCACTGGGGGGGGGGATGGGGGGTACAGTTGCCAGCTCTTGGTTGGGGAACTCCTAGAGATTTGGGGGTGGAGCCTGGGGAGGACAGTGGGATACAATGTCATAGAGTCCACCCTGCAAAGAATCCACTTTCTCCAGGGGAAGTGATCTCTGTCCTCTGGAGATGAGGTGTAATTCCGGGGGATCCCCTGGTCTCACCTGGAGGCTGGCATCCCTCTCCCATGTTACATCTTGGCGTGTGCTTGCTGCTTCACCAGAAGAACCGAGGATCCTTGGCCTAGGTTAGCCTCCAAACCAGGGTCTTCTGGGCACCTTCTCTCCCTGACCTAAACCTATGAGGACGGATACGGAATAAATGTTCAGACAGTCTTTATCAGACAGAGTACTTAAAGGAAATGGAGCTGCTCTGAGGATATAAAGAATTTTTCAGTCTCTCCCACCCCACTCAAGAGGTGAAGGGGAAAATGAAGAGCCAACACCTTTGAGTACCATGGAAGGATGCCGGGTGGCAAAGCAGACCCCGGGAGAAGTTCTGCTATCTTAAAAAGATATTTTTACAGTATCTCTTCTCTGTCTGTCCCCTGCAACATGGAGATTTTTAAAGGAACTGGATAAATTGAAAGGATAAAAACCTTGACTACTGGCCAGCATTAAAGAAATGTGCGCTGGCTTAACTATATCCCTTTATTTATATAATGCCAAACTCCTCAACAGGCGTATGCTGAGTGGAGACTTAATGAGGCTTAAAACGATTCCGCTTACTTTGATATTTTTATCAGGATGATATAAGCTCTTTTTCTAAAAAGGAAAACATTCTGCTCATTGGTAGTAGGGGTTCCTAATTAGTGTACAGTTGGGTATCTTGCCCATATGGTCTGCTGCCGCCACGGAATATGCCATAGTAGTAGAAAAGCAAACCTTCACTGCAAACATGGCTGTGAAAAATGTGCCTGTATTATGTTACGGCGTGGTTCACGCATAACAAACCGTAGTTTGTCAAAATGGGAGGAATGTGATAACATATCAAAGTGAGCTGAATCATTTTAAACTCTCTGTCAGTAAATGAAACGGGGGGGGGGGAAGAAAGGAAAAAAAATCTATCTCTAAGATCTAAGTTATTCTTCATGAATAACAGCACACTTTGGGGGCAGTGAAGACGTCCCATACCTCTTGCCACTGAAGCTATTGTTTTGTATGTGACTAGGCTGCTTTTTTGCAGTGGCTCAGAACGTTTGCATTCTAAACAAACCCGACTGTCCAGTTTCCCTGAGATAATTCTGTTCGGGAACAGGACCGCAGTAACTGAGTAGCCTGCAACAGACAAAAAGCCATCGTTTATGGCTAGTTAAGAATTTGCTGTCATGATAATGCTTTAATGGTTGTCCAACACACAAGGTTTCAAATAAGACACTTTCAGAATTCTGGTGGTCCTCCTTTTTTATGGGGTTTTTTGAAAAAATACAGACATGACATGTGTAGAGAAGAGAAGAGATTGGATTTATACCCCTCCCTTCACTACCCGAAGGAGTCTTAGAGCGGCTTACAAACTCCTTTCCCTTCCCCTCCCCACAACAGACACCCTGTGAGGTAAAAGAAGGAGAAGAGTTTGGATTTATACCCCGCCCTTCACTACCCGAAGGAGTCTCAGAGCGGCTTACAAACTCCTTTCCCTTCCCCTCCCCACAACAGACACCCTGTGAGGTAAAAGAAGGAGAAGAGTTTGGATTTATACCCCGCCCTTCACTACCCGAAGGAGTCTCAGAGCGGCTTACAAACTCCTTTCCCTTCCCCTCCCCACAACAGACACCCTGTGAGGTAAAAGAAGGAGAAGAGTTTGGATTTATACCCCGCCCTTCACTACCCGAAGGAGTCTCAGAGCGGCTTACAAACTCCTTTCCCTTCCCCTCCCCACAACAGACACCCTGTGAGGTAAAAGAAGGAGAAGAGTTTGGATTTATACCCCGCCCTTCACTACCCGAAGGAGTCTCAGAGCGGCTTACAAACTCCTTTCCCTTCCCCTCCCCACAACAGACACCCTGTGAGGTAAAAGAAGGAGAAGAGTTTGGATTTATACCCCGCCCTTCACTACCCGAAGGAGTCTCAGAGCGGCTTACAAACTCCTTTCCCTTCTCCTCCCCACAACAGTCACCCTGTGAGGTAGGTGGGGCTGAGAGAGCTCTGACAGAAACGGCTCTTTTTCAAGAACAGCTCTTATCAGAACTATGGCTTGCCCAAGGTCATCCAGCCAGGTGCAAGTGGAGGAGTGGGGAAACAAACCCGGTTCTCCCAGATTAGCATCCGCGCACTTAACCACTATACCAATCTGGCTCTCAGGATGTTTCCCATCTGAATCCTCATCTGTTTAAACCTTTTGCAGATATCTTTCTGATCTCCATGCAGAAGGGGACCCGGCCTGGCAGTGTATTGGTGCCCAGCATAAATGGATCCTGCAGCTTATGCACAACTGCAAAGAGAGCTATGTGAAAGAACAGAAAGGTAAATTTGAGTTGGGACCTAAAGAGTACAACGTGGCTGTTCTTTCTTCTCTGTTTTTGTTTTTTGTGTGGGGAGGGGGGCGGGAGCAGCCTCTGAGCCAAGCCACCTGCAACAGTCAGAATTTATTATCTGATTCCCCCAACATGTAAAATATAACCTCAAAAAACAACCGGTAATGGGGAGGAAGATATGGATAGGGGCCGCAGCACAGAAGAAGAGGAGGAGGAGGAGGAGATTGGATTTATACCCCGCCCTTCACTCGGAGTCTCAGAGCGTCTTACAAACTCCTTTCCCTCCCTCTCCCCCTCCCCTGTGAGGTAGGCGGGGCTGAGAGAGCTCTTGACAGGAACTGCCCTTTTTCAAGGACAGCTCTTGTCAGAACTATGGCTTGCCCAAGGTCATCCAACAGCTGCAAGTGGAGGAGTGGGGAATCCAACCCAGATTAGAGTCCGCGCACTAAACCACGACACCAAACTGATGTCATCCCCCCCGCCCCCGGTGCCATTTCTTCATTCAAAAATGGGCTCCCCAAGCTACTTCTAGGCCCAACAGGGGGGAAAGGAGAAGTACCTTATATATTGTGCCTATAAGCGGTGGAAGACGGATACAATGCAGCTATCTATTTTTCTCACTACTGATGGTGAAAGCTGCCTTGGGGAGGGTAGTTTAGATTAGAGAAATACTAGAATGAATAGAGGGGGTAGCAGTATGACAATGATAATTACAATAGAATTACTGCAAACCGTGCAAACGTTATAGAATCCAATATATAATACATCAAAAATGTGATCAATCCATTGTTTTAATCTTTTACAATAGAATTACTGCAAACCGTGCAATCAGCCCAGTTTGAATATAATGGCTTAGAGCCTGGTGTGAGCTACTTTGAAGTACGTAGGGTTTTCTGGATGATGCTTCTACTCTTGATCCCTTCCAGTCCGGCTTCCGCCCAGGTCACGGGACGGAGACGGCGCTGGTCGCCCTTACTGACGACCTCCGTAGACACCTGGATCGGGGTGGTTCGGCGGTGCTGCTGTTGCTAGACCTGTCGGCTGCGTTCAACATGGTCGACCACCAGCTGCTCGCCCACCGCCTCGCCGACGTGGGAATACAGGGACTGGCCTTACAGTGGCTTGTCTCTTTTCTTCAAGGTCGGGAACAAAGGGTGGTGCTTGGGGAACAGCAGTCCAGTCCACCTTTTACAGTTCCGCAGGGCCTGCAAGACGGAGCTCTTCCACCAGGCCTTCCAATAGGAGCCGCCACCACTGTTACCACCAAGGATCCTAGTGAAGGCTGGGATCTTAGCTCTGGTCCTGGATATCACTAGGCCTTCCGGCACGAGGGATGATGAGTGGTGTAATAATGCAGTATGAGATCTGAAAGCGCGCCATCTAATGTGTCTTACTGTATGCATTTTAGTAGAAATTGTTAATTTATGTTTTAACATGATATTTTATAGAGTTTTAAGCTTATGTATGTCATTTAGGTACACCGTACCGCAGTGTTAGCCGCCCTGAGCCCGCTCGCGGGATGGGCGGGGTATAAATATAATAAATAAATAAATAAATAAATATAACTAGAGAGAGTCCATTTGGAAGCTTTGTGATTTTGCAGATGTAAAACTGAGATCTTTTGTATGAAAAAGAAATATCGAAACGAGTGGTAACTCTGGGGACGTTCGTCCTGTCTTCATCTGTCTTCATCGACGTCTTCACTTTTCAACTTATGACGTCTTTACTGTTGAGAGGTGGGGGTGGGGGGGAGTTCAATCCTTTCTGTGTCCTTCCCCCCTGCGCCTGCCTTTTTACATACATTGCAGATTTGGGGGGACAGGTCTGATCACAGATTGCCAAGATCGCGTGAAGTTTGGCCTGTAAAGTTAATAACGGTTTTTAGCTATACCACTTTGGCCAGTGCTTTTTTTTTTTTTAATGAGGTTAACAGTGTTTTCCCCCTACGAACTCTTGTGATCTGGTTTGCCTTTAATGAGAGAAATATGCTGAATGAAGCTCTTCTGTACTGGCCAAACCAGAAGAAGTGGGCAGGCTTCCTTCTTCCTGGGTCTCTTAGAAGTTGCTAGGAATTTGTCCTGCTGGAAACGGTCTCCAGCGACTGCTTGCCTTGCAAGCCAGTGTCTTCTGGGGTTCTCACAGCACTTGGCTCCGCCGTGAGTATTCCCGAGGGGCAGTGCCTGTTGAAAGCGTAGGGCTGCCCGGTGCCCTCTGGCCACCAGCGGGGGATGGCAGAGTAGGGTTGCCGGATCCAGGTTGGGAAATCCCTGGAGATTTGGGAATGGTGCCTGAGAAGCTCAGGGACCTCAGTGAGGGGTCCGGCTGTCCTCGACCAGGGCCGGGGCCTTCTCGGTCCTGACCCCGACCTGGTGAAAACCCTCTGCCAGATAACACCGGGGCCCTGCGGGATCTTATGCAATTCCTTACAGGCCCAGATGCTTCCACCAGGCTTTTGGTTGGGGGCAGCAACTGTTCCTTCATTGGCTGGCACCCCCCCCGCCCCCCGTTCTGAGTTTCCCTCTCCCCCTGCCCGGAAAATGGCCAGGTAGTCCAGAATTGTATAGGATGCCATCTTGGATTTTTATTCTTTAGTTGTTATTAAGTTTTGTATATTTTATGGCATTATGCCCTTCGGTACATCGCCCAGAGCCCAGCGTAAGCTGAGACAGAGCTATTCATAAATCCAAATAAATAAATGCAATGCCATAGAGTCCACCTTCCAAAGCATCCATTTTCTCCAGGGGAACTGATCTCTGTAGTCTGGAAATGAGCTGTCATTCCGGGGGATCCCCAGGTCCCACCTGGAGGCTGGCATTCCTATGAAAGTGGTAAAAGAAACGTATCTGCCACCTCCATCATCAGACCATAAAGACTGCAAGAAGTTGAGTGTGCAGTTGCTTAGTTAACAAGGGCACTTGAACTGACTTTGATATGTTTAACTAGCTGCCAAGATATGGGGGAGGGGGGGGGACAGAGTTGCTGTCAAAACATCAGTTTATGGTGCATCCTGCCTTCAGAATCAGAATATAGATCGTAAGCTGAGACAGGGCTATTCATAAATCCAAATAAATAAATGCAATGCCATAGAGTCCATCCTCCGCAGCATCCATTTTCTCCGGGAACTGATCTCTGTAGTCTTGAAATGAGCTGTCATTCCGGGGGACCCCCAGGTTCCCACCTGGAGGCTGGCATTCCTATGAAGGTGTTAAAGGAAACGTATCTGCCACCTCCATCATCAGACCATAAAGACTGCAAGAAGTTGAGTGTGCAGTTGCTTAGTTAACAAGGGCACTTGAACTGACTTTGATATGTTTAACTAGCTGCCAAGATATGGGGGAGGGGGGGGGACAGAGTTGCTGTCAAAACATCAGTTTATGGTGCATCCTGCCTTCAGAATCAGAATATAGATCCTTGAATAAGGACCACAGAGTCAGTACCGTCCTTGATCAGGGGCAAGCCTGACCTGCCCAGGAATAGTGCTGGCTGCGATTCAGATCTCAGTGAAAATAAAATCCCTTTACAGATTCTTAGGTATAAGTCTATGCATGCACGTGTACACTTTCCATCACCTGAGATTGCGTAGATGCTGCCTTTTTTCTCCAGAGTAATGAAAACAAAGGAGCTGCGGTGGCTCAAGTGGTTAAGACGCTGAACTGCAGGCTGTGGAAGGTCGGTAGTTCAGCAGTTCGAGACCCGAGTGTGCCGCATGACGGAGTGAGCTCCCATCTCTAGTTCCGGCTCCTGCCAACCTAGCCGTTCGAAAGCAAGAAATTGCAAGTAGATAAATAGGGACCGCTTCGGTGGGAAGGGAACAGCGTTCCGTGCGCCTTGGTGTTTAGTCATGCCGGCCAAATGACCACGGAAACGTCTTCGGACAGCGCTGGCTCTTCGGCTTTGAAACAGAGATGAGCACTGCAACCCTAGAGTCGGACTCGACTGGCTTTCGAGCAAGGGAACCTTTACCTTTAGGTATAAGTCTATGCATGCACGTGTACACTTTCCATCACATTGATTGCGTAGATGCTGCCTTTTTTCTCCAGAGTAATGAAAACAAAGTCATGCCCCATATGACAGTCAGAGGAACTAGGGTGCTTGCATTCTCATAGACCAGGGGTCCCCCAGCATGGTACCCCCGCTGACATCATTTCTGGTGCCTGCCAAGCGTTTTCAGGAAGTGGTTGCGTCCAGGTAGCAGCAAGGCTTCTGATTGGCTACTGGAGATTTGATTAGCTGTGCAGATATATATTTTTTTAAATGCTGCTTTTGCAACAGCTGCCACCACGGCACAAGAATCTACACCAGGGGCCCCCAACACACTACCTGTGAGCGCTTTTCTTGCACCCGTCAAGCATTTGCAGGAGGTGGGTGGGTCCAGGTGCAACCTACTGTGACCCAAAAAATTGCCTCAGCAGCAGCAGGGCAACTGCAGCACAACAGTCATCTGTGTGGAAGATAAGCTGCCCTGGCTGTTATGGGGGGGGGGGGGCCTAGGCGATTCAACCTTTGCTTCTTGTTCCCAAGTCTGCTGTGTTTGGTAGCTGCCACAGGCGGGCAAAAAAACCTGGCATCCTATTGTCTGGTTTGGAATACTGTGTGCAATTCTGGTCACCACGCCTCAGAAAGGATATTATAGCATTGGAAAAAGTGCAGAAAAGGGCAACTCGAATGAGAAAAGGGTTGAAACATTTTCCCTATGAAGAACGGTTAAAGTGCTCGGGGCTCTTTAGCTTGGAGAAATGACGACTAAGGGGTGACATGATCGAGGTTTACAAGATTATGCAAGGGATAGAGCAGATAAAGAAAGAAGTACTTTTCTCCCTTTCTCACGAACTTGTGGGCACTCAATGAAATTGCTGAGCAGTCGAGTTAGAACGGATAAAATGAAGTACTTCTTCACCCAAAGAGTGATTAACACATGGAATTCACTGTCACAGGAGGTGGTGGCAGCTACAAGCATGGATGGCTTCAAGAGGGAATTGGATAAACATA